TAATATGTGTGTGTGTGTGTGTGTGTGTGTGTGTGTGTGTGTGTGTGTGTGTGTGTGTGTGTGTGTGTGTGTGTTGTGTATTTATGCCCATGCTGCTTTGTGTGTTTTGTGGATCATTTCATCAATGTTATTGTGTACGGGCTTTCATGTGCTCAATTTGTGCACAGACACTGAACAGGTGTGTGTGTGTGTGTGTGTGTGTGTGTGTGTGTGTGTGTGTGTGTGTGTGTGTGTGTGTGTGTGTGTGTGTGTGCCGCTGAAGGAGGTCCAGGCTTCATCTCTCAGCAAATCAGCAGGCCTGAAAATCCAATCTGCCTGGAGAGACAGCAAGCTGTACATCATCTGTCATGGATGGACACTATCAGCGCTTTATCAGGGACTGCACCCCCCACCTCCTCCCAACACACACACACACACACATTCACACACCGTATCTTTCAGTGACCACGTGCATGAACGAACACACACAGCCCACTGTGACAGAGACTGATAGGCATTATTACCTTGGAGGTTGTGGAGGCAGGCGGTGAAACTCCGGCTCCAGTCTGAGGACCCGGAGATGCCTCGCACTAATTCAGATGCTGACAGCTGTGACGACCCTCCTTTGCTGATGATACCTTCCTGTTCCTGCATCTCTACCATGTAGCTGTAAACCACAGCTGCCACCTGCAAGTTTGAAAATAGTCAAAACCCTGAAAAATGGCCCAGCAATCATGTGCAGCCCTGTTAGCGTTCAACGGATTGCTGGGAGTTCAAATTGCCAACCTAGAATGGTGCTGTCATAACAATGATCCTGTTTTAGGCTCCGATTCAAAATAGCACCTTCACATCAGGCGGATCAACTCTGCAGCTTCCCTCTGTTGTCGTGGCTACCTGCTAGCCTGTAAGCTATGACAACAGGAATGGATGGCTGGCTGTGCTGGACAACATTTTCTGATAAGCTTCTGAGATAATTTGGCCAGTTTCCAGGTCTGACTGGACTCACAGAGCCGTCAACAATCACCCAGAAAGGTAACATCTGTGCTGTCTATTTTTGACCACACATTGTTGCCGTCCTTTCGGTTGTGAGACTGAAATGGCCAAAAAATATGTATTTTAGAAAAGGAAAGTTAGCTTTGTCTCACTGTAACTTTTTAGACTGCATCAGGATGGTATTTGAACAACCATTCCCAAAATCCAGACCAGAAAAATCAATGAGTCTCTTCAAAAGACAGAAAGTGAGCTAGTGTAGTTTTCAGGTTTTTTCACATAAAAAAAAACAACAACAGAAGACAGCTAGGGCATATGTTTGGCATGGAAGGAGGCGGTGTGTCCCCACCAGGGTGCGAATTACACAGAGGTTCCGGGGGGACCAATGAGACGCGCTGTCTTGCCTTGGCAAGAAGAAAGAAAGAAAGAAAGAAAGAAAGAAAGAAAGAAAGAAAGAAAGAAAGAAAAACGAAAAGGCGCTTCACAAAAACAAAAAACTCAAAATTTAAGTATAAAAACTTTTTAAAAATTATTAAAAATATGTTTAAAAGGAGAAAATTAAAAAAATTAAGTAAAAGGAGAGAGTAAATGAATATGAAAGAGGGAAATCAATGGATCCTGGGAACGGCAGAATAAGAGCAGAATAAGGAGAGAGTGGTGAAGAAGGTCATACAAAAGCCAGCTTGAACAGGTGAGTTTTCAGCTGCTTTTTAAAGGAGACCACTGAGTCCACTGATCTCAGGCACAGAGGGAGAGAGTTCCAGAGTCTGGGGGCCACAGCAGCAAATGATCTGTCACCTTTGGTCTTTAGCCTGGTGCTACACAACCAGTAGGCTTTGATCTCTGGACCTCAGGGACCTGCTGGGGGTGTAGGGACTAAGAAGATCACCAATGTAAGATGGAGCTTGTCCATGTAAGGCCCTAAAGACCAGAACCAGGATTTTGAAAGGAAGCCTGAAGTTGATTGGCAGCCAGTGAAGCTGGAGGAGAAGTGAGGTGATGTGGGTGTGTTTGGAGGACTTGGTCAGAAGCCGAGCACAGGCATTCTGAACCACCTGTAGACGGTTCAGGGAGGTTCTGCTCAGACACGTGAAAAGAGAGTTACAGTAGTCTAAGCGTGAGGAGATGAAGGTGTGGAGAACTGTCTCAAGTTCAGAGCGGGACAGAATGGGACTCAGCTTAGCAATGTTCCTGAGATGGGAGAAGGAAGAGTGAACAAGAGAACTGACATGAGAATCCAGGGTGAGAGCTGGGTCAAAGGTCACGCCAAGATTCCTGACCGAAGGTTTGGTGTGAGAAGCAAGCTGACCAAGAGAGTCTCTGACTTTGGGAACCAGCTTGTCTGGGGCACAGATGAGGATCTCAGTCTTATCTTCATTCAGCTGAAGAAAGCTCTCAGCCATCCAGGTTTTGATAGAGTCTAAGCAGGTGTGTAACAGCTGCAGCTTAGACATCTCATGGGGCTTAAAGGAGATGTACAGTTGGATGTCATCTGCATAAAGATGGTAGGAGATTCCTTTGAAGGAGCTGAAAATGTCCTAAAGAGGAAGCAGATAGACGAGGAAGAGTAGAGGCCCCAGCACAGAACCTTGTGGGACACCAGTGGCGCTTACACATTAGCATCGGCATGGTCAGGGTTTGGTCGAGCTGGATAGTGTGAGTTCAGTCTCGAACGGGCAGTGTAGCATTCACATATAAATCCGAGGGACTACTCAGGAATGTGGAAATCCTCGAGCCTGTGGGCAGCGTTTAATACTCGTGGGAAAGTCTGCGGGGTCCTCCATCATAAAGTAAACAAAGGTGGGCATGAACTGTTGCTTTTGGAGACTCGGAATCACATTATTTTATTAATTTGCTGTGTGTGTCCTCATAATCTTGTCAGACACACACACACACACACACACACACACACACACACACACACACACACACACACACACACACACACACACACACACACACACACCAAAAACGGAAATCTGACCTGTGTGTGAAACCAAATTCTGGTGCTGTTCGGTACCTTTTGGGGGCCGTGCCAACGCTAATGTGTAAGTGTCACACGAGAGAGGGAGGTGGTGGAGGACGAAAACTTAGAGACGGCCAAAGAGAAGGGAGGCTCAGACAGATAAGGAGAACCACTCCAGAGCAGATCCTGATAGGCCTACCCAGTCTCTCAGCCTCTCCAGTAGCAGGTGATGGTCTACAGTGTCAAAGGCTGCAGTCAGGTCCAGCAGGACCAGAACAGAACAGTCCCCTGCATCACTGTGAGTCAGAAGGTCATTAGAGACCCTAAGAAGAGCTGTTTCAGTAGAATGAGCACTACGAAACCTGACTGGAAGCTATCATAAATGTTATGTTCATCAAGAGCAGCTGTGAGTTGTTTAGCCACAACCTTTTCCAAGATCTTGGAGAAGAACGGAAGTTTAGAGATGGGTCTGAAGCTGTTATGGAGAGAAGGATCAAGACTTTAAGAAGCGGGTGAATTACAGTGTTCTTAAAGTAAGCGGACTCCCAAAATGCCTTGAAATGGCCTGGATGTGGGACTGAGTTTTGAAGGTGATCGGAATTGAATCAATTATATAAATTTTACATGCTTATAAATTTTTCCATTATACAGTTAAGGTGTAGTGGGATAAATCTACCTTTTCATTTTCATACCCTTTGTTTTGCTGTCTTTTTAGCTGACTATTTTCCTGTCCTATCTATCTTCTTGCATCTCTTCTCAATCCTACAGAAAAGGCTTCCTATATTTTCACCCCATCAATTACCTTTGATTTAAGCAGATCAAAGGGATCTACCAACAGCAAAAATAGTGGAGTAGCCTATGCGCTGAGCGGCTGCGCTAGTGAGGTGAAATCACCAGAGCACGGGTCATCCGCTGCATCAGGCATGAACAAAAGGCAGAAAGCACCAGAGGATATGAGCAGAAATGAACGATTGCATGTATACAGGGAGTACAGAATTATTAGGCAAATGAGTATTTTGTCCACATCATTCTCTTCATGCATGTTGTCTTACTCCAAGTTGTATAGGCTCGAAAGCCTACTACCAATTAAGCATATTAGGTGATGTGCATCTCTGTAATGAGAAGGGGTGTGGTCTAATGACATCAACACCCTATATCAGGTGTGCATAATTGGAGCTTGCACAAATGCTCATTCACCCCGCGATTTGTATCGCATCCACAGTGTACACGGCAGCAAAAGGTCAGCCGACCTCAACGTGCGCGTGGGTAGATATGGAGTGAGCAGGTCAGAGAGATAGGGAGGTACCAGGTCGTTGAGTGCTTTAAATACAAAAGTCAATAACTTAAAACGGTACTCTGAAAATGACAGGGAGCCAGTGAAGAAGTTCCAGGACAGGGGTAATATGGCTTTGTCGGTGTGTATTCGTCAAGAACCTGGCAGCAGCGTTCTGGACGACCTGCAGCCGATTCAGGGCAGAGACCGGGACACCAATGAGGAGGGCGTTTGCGTAGTCAAGGCGAGAGGTAATGAAGGCATGGATGACTGAATCCAAATGCTTCCATTTCAGGATTTGTTTGAGGCGAGAATGACGAAGAAATATGTAAGTGCAGATTTGGTGTGCAGGACTGGGACAAAAAGGAGCTTCCAGGTGTTTTTGCCTCCATGAATTTTAAAATGAAGAAGCTGGAGACAGATAAGGGGAGAAAAAAAAGATTGAGCATACAGCAATCAGTCCTCCATCTATCTGTCTGGATAATTAATATAAATCTGCTCATTTATCACCACACACACACACTGCACTTTCTGATAGCCTGATTGTCTGGTTATATGGCTCTGCAGAAATCTGTAATGAATGAGAATGAGGCAGTGAAGGAGTGGATAGAGGAAAAATATTCTGATTAAAGACAAATGAGTGAGAGATTGCTGGAGCTGCATCGGTCGTCACATGCTTCATTTATTACTAATTCAGAGCGACTGGATGGGTGAAAATGCTGGGATTGGACCACACCAGCAGAGAGGTGCTCCTGAGAGGAGAGCACATTTATCAGAAGAAGTGAGACAATCTTAACGTGTTTCACACTTTATTCATAGAAAAGCACCAAGATTCCAACACAAATCAATATAAAATGGTAGTAGCGTTACATAAATAGTAATAAATTCTTGCTTTATAGACAGTAGCTCAAGTCGCACAAAAACAAACAAACCAAAACATAAAAAAGGTGTTGATAAGCTAAGATACTTCTGTGGCAACTAATACTTAAAATACCTTTTTCAAAATCAGTAGCACAAAGAGGCAACAAACACTTTCAACTTTCCCTTAAAGTTAAGAAGGAATCTGGAACAAAAACAAACAGGGAAACAGTAGGTGAACTACATCTCTACCAGCAAATAGTCATCTCCTACAAAAGAAAACCAAAAAGATGAGGAAAAATAACCTCCGGAACTGGCTGCTGAGCTTCACTCAGAGAGAAGAGGTTCTACGCTGTCAAGTGAACGCATCACATGAGGGCAGCAGACTGCCTTCAGCTCAGAAACGCCATCAACAGAAGAAGCAGCTGCACCTGAACGCACCATGATGCAGCGCTTCACATCTTCTGTGAATGGAGCCGAGGCAACGAGGAACGGCAGACCGAAGAGAAATGACTCTGATGTGAGTTAAAAACAAGAAAAAGCCGTTTCTCTTCGTTTAAACGTTTGCTGTTTCTGACCTTAGTCTGAAAAGACACTAAAGGCTTGGGTCCTGTTTAAAAGAAACAACATAGAAATAAAGCAAAAAATAAATCAACTTTGTACATTGATCGGTCAGAAAGGCATTTTTACTTTCCATCACCGTTTCACTTGTCACCTCCTGTAGAAGTTGCAGCAGGTGCGGGCTGGCGACTTTCCCGATACAAGCATGCATTTCCTCCTCTTTCCCTCCGTCCTCGTTTTAATAGTGGTTCACCCCACGATGTCCGGTCCCTCCCACGTTCTTTCATTTGGGACAAGCCCATCAAAGTGGTTCTGCATAGTCAGGTTTAGTACAAATCTGTACAACTTCTCCTTTTGGAAAACAGATTTCCTTTTTTTTTTCTCTTTTTTCTTTTGCAAATGACAACACAAGTAAGCAAAACCAAAGTGAATGAAATGTACACAGGAGCACCTGAGAAATGCCTTGAAGTCTTTGCTCTTACAAAAAAATAAAACATCCCCGTTCAAAAACAATATTCAAGTACACCCCGCCGAAACGAACGGAAAAACAAACACACAACGTACTTATCATAAATAATTTTAACTTTACAATTTTCTGAATTGCCACTTTAATATTTACAATATTTTAAATGCTTAATGCTACTATTTTTTGTTTTGATTCTTTAAGTGGTGTCCCTGAGAACTGAGTTTAGCCTCTTTTCTCTCTTTGTCTGCTCAGTTTTCCTTTTTCCTCCACATTTGTTTATCTGCGTTTATTCAAATGATAATAAAAAAGGAAATAAAAATAAAAATAAAAGAGTTATGACGGACTACCCGGATCGTGAAAGGTAGCTCTCATGGAATGTAAAAGCAGATAAGAAACCCCTTTTTCCTGTTTTATCTCTTCTTTTAAAATACAGTCCTGTTGTATGTGTGTGTGTGTGTTCAACTCAGTGATATAAAATTACGGAACAACAATAAATAAACGCTGAAGCAGGCAGGAACATACTGAAGAGGTATTTGTGTGAAGTGCTTGTACGTTTAGTCTGATCAATTAAAGATTCAAGCTCTTGTTTAACAGCCATTAAAAATGACATTTAGCCAACAGATAATGGAACATGGATGTCCCTCGTGAAAAAAATCACTTCCTGCACCAAGGCATGTGGTCTCAAATACGTACAAAGAAGTCATCAAGTTGTTAAAAAAAGTTTGTTTTTCTTTTCTTGTGGATGCACTGTGTGTATCCAACCCCTTGAGTAAGACAAGGCCAATCTTCTTCACAGCCGATGATGATGATGACCAGTTAAATCCACAAAAAGCCCTTTTCCATCACAAGACAAATAATCTAGAGTTCAAAAAGATAAATTAAACACATCTAATACCGATTTGGCCTAAATTATTAGAGAATTTTCCATCCTTAAAAAAAAATAAAGATTTTTCTTTTACAACACCTCAAACTCTTCTTATATTTTTGCCCACTAGGGGGAGACAAACAAAAGCTGAAAACGGCGTAAAAGTGTTCGTAAAAATAAGCTAACATGCTAACAAGACTTAACCAACTTAACTGAATGATTTATTTACTCACTTGTTCGTCTTCCCCATTTAATTCTTTGTAGGATTGTGGCTTAACTGAATAATACTTAACCTAATTATTTTAATTTTACTTGTAGGACACAAGTTGTAACGTAACAAAGGCGCTTTAGCTAAGTTGTAAAAAATTAGCACGATTCTAATTTAATCAAGTCTTATCTGTGGGACATTATTATCTATAGGTGTTTTAGAGTAAATTTGTAATTTTAAATTTCCAATTGCAGATACAATTTCATTTTTTATATGAATTAATTTAGCTGCAAAGGTAGTTTATTCCACGTTTGCCTAGAAATGCACTCACATGTTTCAAAATATGTTTCTAAACTCTGTAAACCAATATTCTTCATCTGACCCATCAGTTTGCAGCTTCCATCTCTTCTCTTCACTGTTGCATAAGAGCTTGTTTGATTTGTCTGGAACAAAAAATTCACCCCTAAGTATTTGTGGCAATTTGGGAAACGGTTTATCTGAGTTTCAATCACTGCAAAATCACTTTCCCGATAAAGAAAATAGCAGATTTTCAGTAAAGAGTCTTGTAATGGAAAAGGGATCTAAGAGAGGAATGGCTTCCTAACAAAAGGCAAGAACGTGAACTCGATGCTGCCAAGTGAAACAAAAAATGACCTAATGTTGGTCTGTTGGGCGGTCTCTCAATCAACCCCAACAATTAGCTTTCGTTAATAATAGGATTGGCAATTATACGGTTTACAAGAACGGCGTTCACATGAAAGTTAAAGCAGCTGGGTCACCCTCAGGAGTCTGGATTTAAAACGTGCACTCCTTACGGTTTCTCCACTAAAGATATTCCATGGAGACCAACAGGTAAAGGTTTTTAAATCTCTGTATGAAACAAGAGGCCATTTCTGCCCCAGAAGTTAAAGCTGGCTTGTGACAGTCGAGGTGTGGTATTAATACTGCACCACTTTCCAAATGCTGTCGTGCTTTCTTGACTTTAACGGTTTCTTCTTCTTAACCACAGCTGAAAGCGTATTCCGGGAAAAATCGCACGCCTCATCCAACAGAATCATTTGGTTTTCCTTTAACCCCCCCCGAAAAAAACATGTCTTTTGCTTTTGTCATCACATTCTTTTACATTTTTCTCTAACTAAACTGAGCCAAAATCAGAGGGGCAGATACTTTTTGCAGCAACAGTGTAAGTGGACTGCGAACACTTCTTGGTTCACATTCAAGAAATGGAACAGAATAAAACGTTAAGACTTAGTCAACAGATGGCTCAAAGCATAAGAAGTAGGAGTCTCAAATAGAAACGAAGGACTATTCCCCGTGAAGAGGGTCTCTGTGAGGCAGGGGTGAGGTCAGCCGAAGCGCTCCCTCACCAACATCATCAGTTTCTTCTTGCCCTTGTAGATCTGTTTCAGGTTGTCTATGAACTGGGCGAACTGGATGTGGCCGTCCTGTGCTAGGAGGAAAGTCTCCCGTGCTTTGCTAAGGAACTCGATGAACTCGCCATAGTGCCGCGGACTGATGTGAGTCAGTCGAGAGTGTGTGGTGTTGATGTACGCAGAGATTGTGGCGTCTAGGAGCTGCCGAAGCGGGGCCTTGTCTGTTGACATGAGTTTCCCAGAGTTCCTCCGCCCGGGAATGCCGGCGAGACCCGGTGCCGTCATGGTGCACCGCCGCAAGATGTCGGAGAGCACCGTGGCACAGTGCACGCTTTTCACCACCAGAGGGATAATGGCTGCAAGCTCATTCTTTCCCAACGAATGACTGAGCGCGCAAGCCCACAGCACATCGTTAATAGCAGGGTGTGTGTCCTGGTTGTAGGCCAGGTTCAGGTGGGTCATGGCGAGAGACGCCAGCTTGAACGACCGTAGGGGGTACCCTCTGTGCTCCATGTACCTCGCAATAGTGAACAGCTGAGAGTAAGTCATACCCGTCGACGCGGCATCTATCACAATCTGGTAAGCGGTCTCAAAAGCGATATGGTCCTTCTCACAAAGCGTCAGGGCCGATAGGGCGCAGTTCTGGGGGTCCTTCATGGCGCACTGCAGTGCCAGGGTCCTGGCGCAGCTGGCCAGCTCCTCCCGCTGGGGGTAGTCGAGGCTGAGGCGCAGGATGGTGTTATGGGACATGACAGTGGCTGCCACGATGCTAGTGGCCTCAGTGGGAGTGAAGAGAGTGTACCAGCTCTGCAGGATGCTGACCAGGGCCCGTAGACCTGAGGAAACACACAGTCAGACTCAACACTGAGCTCAGAGTGGACTTGACTCTAACAGAGGCAGCAACAGTCGAACTCAGAGGCCTTCCTTTAATCCTTCAAAATAAGAGACGCACAATGACACGTAAAAAAAAACTCCTGGGACTTATTACAAAACTCATAATGAGAAATTATTTACAGTGTATGCGGCTTCTGATGTTATGTTGTACGAGTTTAAAACGTTGTAGCTGTTATTAAAACCTGTTCTGACCTATTTAAACTCAAGAGTTCCTTCACTCAGTAGGTTTCAGTGAGTTAAACTAGACATGGTTTATGCTAAATTACTTGACTCACCTGAATAATCACATTTTTTTACCTTTCTTTCAAGTGACCAAACTTTATTCTCAAAAATAAAAGGGTCCTTCATTATTTTCTCTGCTCAGCCTTAAAGATGAACCAGGATGCATCGCAGCAAACCAAAGAGAAGATCCACATGTACCACGGAGACTGTAATCTGATTACTTGCTGGATCTGATCTGGATCTACCGCATCTGAAAAGGCAGCACGTACCAACTTCAGTGGCACAGGTCACAAGCCAGCGAACCATCTCTCTCCTCCGCCAGTTCAGAGTGGACAGCGTCATCCTCATCACCTGCAGAAGGGAAGGTGCTTACTTCCTGTCCCGACAGCATTCCACACAGCAAATAAACAATGCTCCCTTTATACTTTTCACATCTTTATAAATTTACTTTTCCTTAAGCATTGTAGCACAGATCTATTAGCTGCAGGTTTCATCTTATGCCAAATGTTTCCATGCATGCTTCATAATCACATATTTGATGAGCTGATGGGTTTATTAGGCTCCCTCGCTCAGCTGCTGTAAACCAGCATTCGGTTGATCCTGCAGAGACCAGGAGGAGGAGGCAGGTGAAGCCACAGAAACCCGATGGTCTGTGTTTTTCCGAGTTTACACTGGGATCTGAAATCTTTAATCATGTGGTTTCTTCTAGTCAACAACGATAAAACTGAGGGATGTTTTCTGTGTTAAACTGCATAAGAAAAAGACACGTAAAGGGAAAGTGTTGAGTGCTTCAACTTTTGATTGTTTGTACATGCAGGCATGCTTACACACACGCACGCGCACACGCGCACGCACACGCGCACACACACACACCGCCCCTACCTGCAGTCCTAACTCCAGCGCCACATTGAGCAGGGTAATATCAGGTGGGCTCTCTGCAGGTGTGGCGATCTTAAAGGCATCCTGGGCCAGCTTGAAGATCAGAGAAGAAGAGTGGATGTTTTTCTGGATGACCTCCAACACTGTCCGCAGTCTCAACATGTCCCCTGATAGAAAAACAAAAACGGAGCAAACTCAGATCTTAAACCATCCCTCTCGCAACAAAATCTGCTCCCTGATGGGCTCCTGATGGTACCTTTAGCTGCAGTCAGCATGGTTGAGGCCAGCTCACACTGCTGGGACTCCAGGTGGCCCAGAGTGAACCAACGAGGGTATCTGCTCGGAACGATGGAGATGCCATGATGAGGGTGTCCGACGTCCCCAGAACCTGCTGACGACTCCAGCACCGGCAGCCTTGGGATATTACACAAAGTTTTATATCAATTAAACCATACTGATGAGACAAAAACGCACCACACATAACGGCAGCTGAAGACATTTTGTACAAAGAGCACCTTTATGGTTCAGTTGAATCATCACAGTGATGTAACCAAATGTGTTTTTGTCATTTTCTTTATGCAAATACCTTTTAAGAAGATACCAGATGCAGAGACCATGTTTAATAAAAAAACCCAAAATCTAATTTCTTTATTTTACACATTTTTCTGGTATCTATAAACATAGTCTAGCAGAAGAGCGACATTTATCAGTCTTTTGAAGGAAAAATATACAAGAATTGTTGTCTGGATCAGTGAAATATACAAGCCGGATCGAGCTGAAAACTACTAGTTAACAAGCTTCTATCAGTTTGTCGGGTTACAAAAATAGATTTTTGTCCAAATAAACATTTGAATGATTCTAAATTTGGTCTTAAAATTAAATACCATTTAAACTTTTAAATACGTTATTTTATTCATCTAATTAAATTCTCATACCAACATGTGTACATGGATTTGCAATGCCCTTTAACTTTAGTGCTAAAGGTGCAATATGTAAAAATAAAGTAAGACTGACACCCTGTGGCCAAATTTGGTTCCTGCAGCCCATTTTTCTAAACAGAAACTTACTTTCTCACTACCGTTCCGAGTTTCCTGGCTGTTGCCAGTTAAGAATCAGTGCCAGAAGATTCTAAATGATGAGTCACATACAGTAAGTTGATAAGTAGATAAATACATAGTCGTATCTGATGTAAGTCCCCTGGAGTGTTTTACGGTAGGGAGCACTTACTACACTTATTATGGAAATATTCCTGTAGCATTAGAGGAAGTGCGTATTTTTGCTATCTTGCTGTTAGCTAGCCGTTATAAATCTGAACGACTCATTAAAGGAAGTAAAACGTCATGACTGACTCATTCACTTCGCAAACACACATTTTACTGTAAATCCTCTAACATTAGCCTGTATTTAATTAACTGCCGGGTATCATATTTTGGCCGGTGTCGGAGTCGGCGGAGGTGAATAATGGCCGTTTTTTTATTGTGGCCGGGTGGAATGTGGTAACAAGCAAGTACGGGGGGCGGTTGTGTCATCCGTCTCACTTTTGATTTGCCAGTGACAGACCGCAAGGGTAACTTTAACCGTGCGGAGACGAAAATTTGATATCAAGTTCAAAGAGAACGTGCTGATTATGCTGCAGAACACTCTGGGGAGCAGTAGCAGGGGTTGTATGAACTAGTCACTAGTCGACTTCACCGCTCTATAGTGACTTTTTATGCCTGTCATCGACTAGTCGCTGTCACGTGATGATGACCGGCAAGATGCAGTCCTCGGAAAAGACAGCAGGTGACGAGCCCGTGCGCGTTGGGAGGCAACGCGCTGTGCCAGAGCGTCGGTACTGACACCCGCCGTAAAACGGACATTTAACCAAATTGTGATCTTTTCCCTCTTGCAATTTAACCTTCCCCTCACCCCATCCTAACCTTAACCAGCTTGCGCATGCAAAGCTCTGATTGTTGACGCGCTCCAGACATCTGCGTCCTGAGCGCGGCCACAGTAACATTATCAAATCAGGTGTTGCCACCTCAAAAACTAATTTAACACACGATCGTTCACATCGGCTCATTTCCTTTTATGTTTTCTGTCTTTTTTTCTTTTATTTGTGCCTGATGTGTTTCGCTGCTGTGGATCAGGGCGCATCACCTGTTTTGTCCTCGGTGACGCACCTCACTGATGAGGCCGGCGAGCACCCCGCTGTTTTTGCGGTCGGTAGATCTTTTAGAACTGCAGTTCAAAGGTAACTCATAAGGTGAATATATATGAACCCAGGTAGCAGTTTGTCTTTAGGATTGAGAGGAGATGCAGGAAGATAATAAACAGGCAGGACAGAAAAATAGTCAAATAAAAACAAGTTAGTTTTTGTACCTGGTGGTTGCAGCAATCAGACACCATTGAAGGTAATCAGAGGTGAGGAACAGAAAATGAAATAATTATTTTAATGTTTAGAGCAGCAGGAACTCTGAGAGGCTGCAGGCGCATCAGTGAGTTAGCGGCCGCTGCGCAGGTGAAGGGGAGAGATGGCTGAAGCAGAATTCAATTCAATTCAATTCAAAAATACTTTATTAATCCCAGAGGGACTACCGTTGTTAAAAGAAATGTGTTTAACTTTGAAAATGTGGGCGCAATTTTAATTGTCAAAAACTCCAGCGAACCATTAGTTAATTTTGCTTAAATAGAAATTGAGGCATGCCTCTAATTCTGGCCCCCCTTCCAATAAAGGCCTGGAGCTTGACGAGCTTGAGTCAAATACAGGCCCGGGCCTGTATTAGAGGATTTACGGTAGTACCCCTCAAGATAAAAATCACAAGTAAATATCATGTTGCTGATAATTGAAAAAGTTGCTTGAGATATTTTTAGAGTTGACTATTTGTTTTTAACTGACCTTTAGCATTGTTAGCTCAATGTTGGCCTTTAGCCTGCTTCCCCCTTAGAGTAAAACAAAAAGATCTTTTTGATTCTTTGGAGTACAGGAAATAACTTCTGGGTCGCTCCTGTTTAATGACTTTGCTTCTTTAAACAACTCTGGAGTTTTTCCTGGCTGGTGTCAAATTACAAATGCTGTGCTGCAGCATTAGCTTGGTGCAGATTCAGCAACCTAACAAGTTCAGATTGTAAACAATAACATTTTACTTGTTTTCAAAGGAGAAAAACTGACAGCCCTCAGCTGGCTGACAACGAAATCTGTTTCACTGTAACATTCATTTCAACATGATTAAGACATTGGACTGTTTAGTGATCATTTCACTGTAAAATTCTTACATATTGCTCCATTAATGAAGCTACAAAAAAAAAAAAAAGACGATTTACAGCAGATTCCTTTTGCAACGCGAGTTCAATTGGACTGAACTGACTAAACAGACATAGATCAGAGATCTATATAAATACTTTGGACCAGCTCCTGTTCTGGTGAAAAGAAATCTCACCTCATGGCACGAAGAGCCACTTTATATGCCAGGTCAGCGTCGTGCGGCAGCAGGGCAGAGAAAAGGTACTTGGCGAAGGTGTGCATGGGGACGCTCTCTCTGTGGATGACTTCTCCGAGACCACTGAACGGACCGGCTGAAACCGAGAGACAAGAACTGTTCGCTCAACTTTCCTTTCTAATATTTACAGACATACATGTGCTGCACAGGAGGTCGTCATACCCTCCAGTAACCGGATGGCCTGTTTCCTAAGAGTCTGAACCAGGAGGTCGTCCAGGTCCAGTTCCTGCAGCTTTGCCACAATCTGCTCTTCGTTACGACACACCTGGATCGCGTTAGAAACACAGACAACCTGGTGTCACTGCAGTTGTGTTTTTATTCAAACGTGATTGGAAGTAGAAGTAGAAACCTTAAAGGTGAATCTGACAAAACATTTGAAATAAAGTCAAGTTAAAGTAAACTAAATAAGAAAAAAACATCTGATCACTGGCATAAAAATCTGTGGACTTCATTCAAAACTAAACATGCAATCAACAAACTTTTCAAAAGCTTTTAAAGGAAAGGTTTTGCGTAAGAGGCATTGAAAACACAGCAGGGTCCTTAAATACGCCTCACTCGGGCGACTGTGCATGTCTTTAGCAGCTGAAGTGATTTTATTCCAGCCAAGAATTTCACAACGAGGTCTTTTCACACATGTGATTGGTTTTAAATGCAATTCCTGCCTAAAACATTAATGTTGTTGCTTAATTCTGGTGACATTAAGAAAGGTGTGCGGCGCCCGTGTTAAGCCCCCTCGAAAGCTGATTACCATTTCCACAAAGAAATGCTCCTCGGATTTATTCTAATTCACAGCGAACTTAAGTACTGTGACTTTCTGCTTGTTTTTCAAGAAACAAAAATGCCATGACCTTTTCTCTTTTTTGCCTGGCATTTACTTCCAACTGATGTTAAATTATAGTGATTTTCTCTCATGGCAACATTGCCTTCAACAGGCAAATTCACAAGAAGCTTTTTGCTATAAGCACTGAGGCATTATTACATTTTCTGTGAGGGAATTTTAATGTTTAGTTTTACCTTATCCTGGGCATACAGTCCCTCAGGCATTATTCTCTGCTGGCCCATACCCATCAGAGCCACCTCTAAGGCCAGGGTCAGGTAGGACTCGCCTCCATCTGAACTGCCCCACACGGGCACATGATGGTATACTGGAGGCCTGGGGTCACCATCTGCAAAAAAAAAAATTGTTAATTGATAACAAGAAACAAAATAAATGCTAATTTCTATTAAAAGGGCATTATGGAAGTTTGACAGCCAAAACATGTATAGAAAAAATAAATTTCTTCTTCATACATTCTCCTGCAATGCCCTGGTCCTGTAGAATGAGCCCTGGCATTTTTACTGTGATTGCCTGTTTTACTGTAAAATCACAGAAAAAGAGAGATGCTCGGGTCGAGCAGGCTGCTTCATGTGCGTTCACGCTCAGGCATAGCCCTCCGAGCCGTTCTTTGAACGTTGTTTCAGCTGTTATCAAGGATATAAATGTTACAGATACAGAAGATGTCACTGGTGCTTTAGCTCGCCTAGTAAAACTTCGGGCTTTCGTGCAGAAGACCTGGGTTCGATTCTGGATGTGAACATAGTTTTGTTTAGAGTTTCTTTTTTTAAATCAATGGTATATTTTTTTACAGTAAGATGCCCAAATTTTTATTTGAGACTCGCCGAACGGCATTGAATTCACAGATAAAAGAGATGTGGGTCCAACTTTCATTTGGGAACAATTTTTCAAGAAAGGGAAGGGAATGATCTGAGCATGCAGGAGGACTGACCCATCATAAACCTTTGTCGGCTGTGCTGAAGAGAAAGGTACAGAACCAAATTATTTAATTTATTAGCTGCGTGTTCTCCTGTCCTGTGAGCCACACACACACACACACACACACACGGGACTGTCTCAGCTGTTATTTTCGTTAAGGAGTGTGCACGTACAGCATGCGCGCCTCGTGCACGAGCCTACTATTGAAGCTGCCGTTACGCTTTTGGCCTGAGGGGGCAATCACGAGCATAAAAATTCAAAACTCCGCAAAGTCCCTTTAAAATATCTACTACAATAGTTGTGTTCTGTGTTACTTGTGATTAAAATGTAAGAACATTTTTTTTTGTTTTCACTCAGATTTCTAGATTATTCAGATAAATGAAAGCATTTCCTGTCTTTTAGAAAAATATGTCAAAAATCAACAGACAAGATTTTAATAACTAGTATGGCTGAAGGAGTTAGTTAAAATTTACAATAATTTGTTGTAACTGGTAATTTTACAGACGTTGAGGTAAAAATTGGTTATTCAAAATGCACACACACAATACATACAAATAGATGGTGGGTGGAAAACTGACTGGAAGTCTTTGGAAGCTACGTGATTTAGCCAACTCAATGTGTCACTTTAACGTGGTCCACGAAATTCAAAATTTAGTGTAAAGATGAAGCCAAAAAGCTGAATACTGTACAAGAACTATGCTGATGAGCGTTGGGGATAATTAACTAAGAAAACATACTAGCCGGTACTGTAATAATCAGATATTTAGTAGAAGTTGTGTGTAAGATAACATCAATAAGACCTTTATTTCTGGATGTTTATAAAAAATCTAAAACGACAGCACAGCCTACACTAAAGCTTCACAAGTAGAAGTGTGAACAGATGCCACGAGAGCCTCAGCTGTTGATTGGTGCCCATTTGTTCGCTGCTGCTCCCCTGCTCCATCGATGGGTTTAAATCCCCTCTGAGCAACAGATCCTCTTAAGTCCTGTTTATTCCACAGATACGTGTGTGTGTGTGTGTGTGTGTGTGCATAAAAAACTACTCTGCTCTCGAATGTGTTGAGTGGAAAAATGAAACCATCCTTTCAGAGTAGTCGCTGATTGGTTGAGGAGAAGCTTGCATTCTGATTGGATGATGCACTCAGCTTTTGTCCACTTACTGTGCACCAGATGTTTCCAGCTGTTCATCACTGGACACCAAAAAAACTCCATCATACTTCATTCCTCAGATTCCAAAAGCAGCATAAGATCATCAGTGAGTCCCTTTGACTCCAAAACGCACGCACACACGCACACACGCACACACACACACACACACACACACACACACACACACACACACACGCACACACACGCACACACACACGCACACACACGCACACACACACACGCACACACACGCACACACACACACACACACACACACACACACACACACACGCAGGTGGCTGTGCCAGTGGTCAGCATTGTTCACTTCGACAATAGTTCCCTGTAGCCTGGAGACAATGACAAACCCAGCCCCTATTCTCATCTGCTGCAACGGTCACTGGTGCAAAGAGGGGAAAAGCCTCCCTGAACAGGGTGGAAAATGCAAATGTGGAAGGATTCTATACATACCACACATGAACAAACAGGGGTTTGTTGTAAATGAGCTGGCTGTTCCAGTTCGATCCATTCATGCTTTACTAGTCTACTCATGGAGGAACACGGAGTCTGTTGTGCGATGAGTCACTGATCACATCTGCTCTGCGTTACGCTGGTGAAGTGTGCCCGCAGTAATACCGTGTCTAGTAAATACATCCTGTAACTCGGCCTGGATCAGTCTCATGTACTCATGCTGAGGTTAAGACTTTGGATGTGAACACATTACTGAAAAGTTTGGTAGCTCTGCCGACTAAATGTTGCAAATGATTGGATCATTTTGACCCCGTTCAACCCATAAAAATGTCTACAAATACAGTTATTTTTCTCCAATTCAATAGCTGAAAGGCTTCAACCGAATATGTGTTTTCATACCTCCGGTGTCCATGGTGCTGTCGTCATCCATGCGACATGTCTCTGTGAGTGTGATGAACAGACAGCCAATGGGGTCTAAGGGGTGACCCACCCAGCCTTCCAGGTTGGTGGTGGAGGTGGCGCCTCTCTGGAGGAGCTCTGACAGCAGGAAGAGAGGTGCGCCCATGAGCATCTGCATGTTGGTCAGAAAACAAATGGTCCTGGAAACGGGTCGTACCTTTCTTTTGGTGCTTGTAGATGTCCATCTGCCTCTGCTGCTGGAGGCGGAGCGTGTTGATGATTGCGACGGCCAATCGCAGAGCTTCCCTGGTGTAACCATGAGATCGCAGGGCGTCAACGCGAGCGCATGCCGTTGGGACGTGATCTGTGTGCGAGGAAGAGAAACATGTGTATATTTAAATAAAGCCTGCACGCACAGGTTAGGCTCAAGCACACTTATGCACACACACGGTGCAGTCAGCAGAAAGCCTGTGTGTGTGTGTGTGTGTGTGTGTGTGTGTGTGTGTGTGTGTGTGTGTGTGTGTGTGTGTGTGTGTGTGTGTGTGTGTGTGTGTGTGTGTGTGTGATAGCTGGCTTAAGTTGCAGAATCTGACAGATCTTAGCTGGAAGCTGCTTGCAGCAGATACTGGCTTCAGTATCAGCAGAATAACGTGTGTGTGTGTGTGTGTGTGTGTGTGTGTTAGCTCAGCATTCACTAGAAGCAAAAACTGTGGCTGTTGCACAAACACCATCAGTCTTTGAAATTGTGTTTTTTCTGCAATTTAATAGAGAAAATACTTGAATGTGTAATTGTTGCCTAAAACCTAACCTAGCCTTTCCTTGTGGACGTGCAGGAGGCTTAATATGCAACAGAAAGATCAAACTTGTTCCAAAAAGGAGTAATGAGACCGTACCGAGCCACAGCGGCAGCCCCTGTGGGTTAAACAGAAGACTCTCCCCCTCCCTCTGGTAGGACGGAGACATGTAGAAGTCACTGCTGATGATCCTCTGCAGGTGGCTGTCCTGCCAGTGGAGGTCACAGGCCTCCACCGCCCGACTGAACACCGTCCTCCTGGGCCTGGACAGAGAGTCTGACACATTGCACACAGTCACTTATTCATTCATGTTTACCTCCTGGTGCGTGTTTTCTGCACATTTAGATGTGTGTGTGTTTGTGTGTGTGTGTGTGTGCAGACCTTGTGCGAGGTTACTCTGCGGCAGAGCGTTGGTGATGTTCGGAAGCTCGCTGCCGTAGTTGCCGTCCTCCAGAGGACAAACGTCCATGTCTCCCCACTTCTTTAGCTGCTTCAACCAGCTGCTCTTCTCCTCGCTCTTACAGTGCGGATTGAGCACCACGCACACCCACAATGCACCTGGGTATGCAGAAGTGGTCAGATGCCAGAATGTTAAGGAAGCAACAGCTCTAGCGTGGTGTCTCAACTTAGCTGGATTTGTTTAAAAACGACATTTATACATTCAGAAATTGAAAAGCTTCATATTTCAGTTTTTAAATGTTAAGAAGGAAAGAAAACAAACAACCCTCTTTGTTTTCGAGTTTAATCTTTAAATGACGTAAACACGATAGAGGTCCGAGAGTAGTCAATTATATGTCCCATGATAATAAACAACGATAATAATAACAACGATCCTCGAATTGTTCCTCCAGTAATTAAGGCTTGTAGCTGTTCTTGTCTCAAACAACTGCAAATGTGTTCATTTCTGATGTTTTGTAAGATATTACTTTGTAAGTTGAGCTTCTCTACTTGAATAATAATAATAATAATAATAATAATAATAATAATAATAATAATTAAAGCTGCAAGCAGCGTCGTTCGGCCCTCGCAGCTCCGCGCCGCTCCGGCCTGGCCGGCAGCCCGGGGCACCAGGGCATGTCTGGCAGAACAGAAACGTCAATCATCCCGTCACCGGAAACAGCAAATGGCCTCCTAGTCCGCACCTCACCCTGACTAAGCATCCCCTCTGAGCTCACCATTAAATTGAATTGTAAGGTTACGGCATACGCAAGAATTCGCCATGGCATCAAAGCCCCTCCCTTTCTGGAAAGCTATCAGATTTGAATGGCCATTACAGCATCATGAAGACAGTGCATGACCTAGGTGTCATGTTGACTAAATTAGAGGGGACAAATATGGGCATTTCAGCATAAAATAATAACTTCCTTTAGTCAGGGGGCGGGGCTTAGATGATGTCAGCTGTCCACATTGTCATTGTTTACAGATATGGTCAATGATCACACAGACAAAGTTCGAAAAAGATCTGATCATGCACATGGGAGTTATTAAGTCAAGTAATGGTGAAAGGTCAAAGTTTGAGGCTTAGCCACGCCCACACCTTTCAACTTTTGAAAAATCCGACAGTTGAATTTTTTCCCCTATGCCTTAAGAGTATATAGCAGAAGTTTGAAGGCGATTGGTGAAAAGGGCGACGGAGCATCACTCTCCAAACAACGTGTGCGAAAACCACTAAATCGCGTACTTGGACCAAAATGGCCGACTTCCTGTGCAATTTTGTGCTTGGCTCCAAGAGACTTTTTTGTAGGTCCTGGGACACCACATTAGTGTACCAAATTTCGTAATCCTCAGTGAAAGCATGGCTTGGGGCTATTAGTTTAAATGGTCCTAGGGGGCGCTATTTCAGAAATTAGGCCACGCCCACATATTTCAGCTGTCTATGTCTCTTTGGGGTCAGACTAGGATCACTCACCAGAAGTTTCGTAACGATATCACGATAAATGAAGAAATGAGAGGCAAACGTATTTCCATGGCGTGATGGCGATTTTCGCCATGCTCCCAAAGCCCCGCCTTTTTTTGAAACCTTCCAGTACTGGATACCAAGTGACCTCAAGTTGTCTACTGCTATTTGCCAGAGACTCCTGCTGATTGGGTAAAAGGAGTCCAGTAGGGAGCTGTGAAAAAAAGAGTGGCGCGGCGACAGGTCAAAGTTTGAGGCTTAGCCACGCCCACACCTTTCAACTTTTGAAAAATCCGACGGTTGAATTTTTTCCCCTATGCCTTAAGAGTATATAGCAGAAGTTTGAAGGCGATTGGTGAAAAGGGCGACGGAGCATCACTCTCCAAACAACGTGTGCGAAAACCACTAAATCGCGTACTTGGACCAAAATGGCCGACTTCCTGTGCAATTTTGTGCTTGGCTCCAAGAGACTTTTTTGTAGGCCCTGGGACACCACATTAGTGTACCAAATTTCGTAATCCTCAGTCAAAGCATGGCTTGGGGCTATTAGTTTAAATGGTCCTAGGGGGCGCTATTTCAGAAATTAGGCCACGCCCACATATTTCAGCTGTCTATGTCTCTTTGGGGTCAGACTAGGATCACTCACCAGAAGTTTCGTAATGATATCACGATAAATGAAGAAATGAGAGGCAAACGTATTTCCATGGCGTGATGGCGATTTTCGCCATGCTCCCAAAGCCCTGCCTTTTTTTGAAACCTTCCAGTACTGGAGACCAAGTGACCTCAAGTTGTCTACTGCTATTTGCCAGAGACTCCTGCTGATTGGGTAAAAGGAGTCCAGTAGGGAGCTGTGAAAAAAAGAGTGGCGCGGCGACAGGTCAAAGTTTGAGGCTTAGCCACGCCCACACCTTTCAACTTTTGAAAAATCCGACGGTTGAATTTTTTCCTCTATGTCTTAAGAGCAGATGGCAGAAGTTTGAAGGAGATTGGTGAAAATGGCGACGGAGCATCACTCTCCAAACAACGTGTGCGAAAACCACTAAATTGCGTACTTGGACCAAAATGGCCGACTTCCTGTGCAACTTTGCACTTGGCTCCAAGAGACTTTTTTGTAGGTCCTGAGACACCACATTAGTGTACCAAATTTCGTACTCCTCAGTCAAAGCATGGCTTGGGGCTGACAGTTTTAATGGTCCTAGGGGGCGCTATTTCAGAAAATAGGCCACGCCCACCGGATGTTCACATCAGATCTTTTGAGGGGCCGGACTAGGATCACTCACAACAAGTTTCGTGACGATATCTTTAGAAATGACGAAATGGAAGGCAAACGTAAGGCCATGGCGGTACGCCTGACTTCGCCGCGCCGCCACAGCCCCACCTTCTGCCGAAAACTCCCATAAAGTGACGCCAAGCAACCTCCACTTGTCTTGAGTTAACAGCTACAAGTTTGTGGTGATTAAGTGAAATGGGGCAATTTGGGACCTTTCACAGTAAAACTTGACCTTTTTGGTCCTGAGGGGGCGGGGCTTGTGTGATGTCATCATCCGACCATTCAATTTACTTTGTGGCTGGATGACGAATGACCACAGAAAGTTTGGTAATTCTATTCCTTTCAGTTATGAAGTTATAGCAATTTAAAATTTTTTGGCGGGTAGTCAAACTTCGAGGCCTGGCCCCGCCCCTTCAACATGTACGAAAAGTCAGAATCTTTGTCTCATTTTGTTCGCCCATCCCTTCTGAGCAATTTTACACAATTTTTGAGACGATCGTGCAAAAAATGATCGAGCAATCCAATCAGAAACGGACCCTAAAAAGGGCCAAAACGGCAAAAAATCGCCATTTCAACCCAAAATGGCCGACTTCCTGTTTGATATTGACCATGCATGCAAGAGACTTTTCTGTGCGGACTGTTTAGTACTATAAATGTACCAAATTTCATAACTGTACGATAAACTAAGCTTTATGGAGAGGGGTTTTTTTCACTTTGTAGGGGGCGCTGTTCAGCCATTTTCTTTGCGATTTTTTTGTGACCTTTAAAATATCAAATTTTTCACCAGGCCTGACAAGTGTGCAAAATATTGTGAGTTTTGGGGTATGTTAAGGTCCCCAAAAAGCTGTTCAAAGGGGGCACGGAATAACAAAAAATAATCAGAGCAAAAACAAGAGGCCTTCGCAGCGCTTTCGCTGCTCGGGCCTAATAATGTATTGAACTTATATAGCGCTTTTCTAGACACCCAAAGACGCTTTCACACACTCTCACATTCACACACTGCTAGTGATGGTAAGCTACTCGTAGCCACAGCCGCCCTGGGGAGGTCTGACAGAGGCGAGGCTGCCATTTGGCGCCGTCGGCCCCTCTGACCACCACTAACACAGGCAAGTTGGGTGAAGTGTCTTGCCCAAGGACACAACAGCAGGATACCCCTGGCGGGAGCTGGAATCGAACCCATGACCGTCCGATCATGAGGCAACCCGCTCTACCACCTGAGCTACTGCCGCCCCAATGATCAATCACATTTTTTTCAAAATCTATATTATTTATTTTATAGATTTAAAAAATTGCATTGAAAATTAATAAACAGCACTACAAAAATGTTAAACGCTCACTCATAACAATTATTATTGACAGCTGAAATCTCCCCCAAACCTCCAAAGAGCAGCTACCCTTCAGATCCTGCGGCTTTATAGGCGATCGGCGTCTGCTCTACTCACAAAAACCTCCAACTGTGTCGACTGTCAGACGTCTGCGTCACGGAGAAAAATGAGCCGACTGTCTGGCTGTTATTTCTGTCTTTGTCATGATCTCACTCGCTCGCTCGCTCGGGAAGTGTTCTTATTGACCTCCTAAATGCTGAGATTGATTGCAGAGAAGTTGAGCAGCAGTATTGATCGGCCGCCTTCATCATTCGCCGCATGCATGCAGGCAGTCGGAGGAGAAGCAGGAGCCTGAGGGGCAGCGGCCGACTGGACGACCTGAACGTTTATCTGACCAGCTGACTGGATGTTTGTCTGTAAACAAATATTTCTTCTCACCCAGCTCATCCCAGAGCTGCCGGCACTTGTCCGTCATCCCCGTGCCTTGCTGTCTCCATAGCGACAGTCGAGGGTCCGCCATAAATTGCTCCGTTATGAGCGTGAGCATTCGGGCGCCGTTAGAGTCTCGCATTCGTAGCATCTCTCGCACCTGCAAAGAGCAGAAAGGGGCGACGAATTCATCTCATCAGCTTCCATCTTTGAGCTCCGCTCGTCAGAAGCAGAAGTGGTTCAATATCTGTAGGCGACCACATTCAGGACGTAAAACACGAGTTCTGACAGGTTCTTGTAAACACAGAAATATATAACACAAAAAAGGCGTCAGTGGAGATTCAAACCGGCAACCTTCTTGCTACAACTCAACAGAACCAACTGGACCACCATGACCCAAGCTTGTGTGTAAAATGCAGATATAACATGTGGTCATTAAAAGTTTTAATACATAAACCAAATAAGTATTTTTATACATCAACAAAGTTTAAACTCCACATTTTTGAGGTAAAAGAGAAAAAAAAGGATTTTGCGTTAAAGACTTTTCAGTCTCGTCGGACTCTGCTCAAAAAGCAGCTTCACTCCAACAGAGCGCACTACAGATTTAAAGGATTTGTATAATTTTATTCACACATATCTCACCGCTGCAGAAGTCGTGAGTTGGAAAAACTGATGGTGCAAAAATGTTAAGACAGACTTCACCTGCTGAAACCTCTCAGTGTTTCTCTTCGTGTTTTAGGCCTGAATGATGATTTTTGCAAACACAACAAATCAACTCTGACAACATGTAAGAGCGGACGACGTGAACCTTAGCAAACATGGAGTTGAGCTGCTTTCCAGAGCCGTAGTATCCTCCCTGGGACAAAAACTGCTTGACCTGCTCCCTGACTTGGTCCTCATCCAGATGCCAGCAGTTGTCGTCGTCGATGCTGGCGCCTGCCGTCGGGTCTGGAGCGCCTGAGATTACACAGAAACAGTAAATGACAAGTACCAGGGAGAAGTGAGAGATGAAAGCAGAGAGGAACCGGGGAGTAAATGCAACAGCATCCTCCTGTTAAAGCTGAGGGTAATGGAATAAAGTCGGTGCATTTACGAAGACACTTCCTGTTCTCAATTAACACCCCGAGGGAAAAAAGTGACCGCAGGAAATGAGGGTTTGTTTGTAGTCCATCTCCACAAAATATGACTCCCGTTTCTTCTAAGTGCTGACATTTCATCCAGGTTGGAATCGACGACAGTGATTGATAGTTTGAAATCTCATCCTCAAATCTGCTGCTGCGCTCGATTTTGATGCTTTTATGCTTCACGTTAAACTACAGAGCACCGACACAACGGATTAAAAAACGCTGCTGGAGTTAGGCTAATCAGCCTCTGAGGGAGCGTTAGACCAACTTTACTTTTCTTCTGGTTGCGTGTGTGTGTGTGTGTGTGTGACTAATATTGCGGAGAAATGTAGATGTGCTCCGGTGGGGGAAGCTGCTTTGATCTTGCAGGAAGCGAGCTGAGGAAAGCCCAGAGATGTGTTTCCAACTGACTGGGAGAGCACAGCAGCAGCAAACAGCAACATTCCTGCATCAAAGGCAGTCCCGCTCCTGGACCGACTGAACTTCAACCCCCATGATTCCCCTTGTCAAACACAGACAGGAAGCACAGCGCGGGGTTTCCTGGACGCAAACGCTGGAGAATGTCCACATTTGGCAAAGGAGGATGAAACAGAGGCGGGGATAAAGACTTCTGTTTGGTGAAAGGATGTGTTTGGTTTGTTGTTTCCCTGATGCAGGACTGCTGTGGTCCCCGTCCTCTCTCGTTTTTCATCCCGACACTTTCCCTGGCCCTTTTCATCGTTCCTCCCCTCTCTCAGTGTCCTCTTCCTCTTCACACATCTCTGCCTGTGTCATCTCCTGAATCCATTTCATCAATCAACTCCTTATTCTTTGATTGATCCAACCTGTCCCTGCCGGTGGGAGGAGGCAGTGGAGGCTAAGACGAAACTTAAAAGAAAAAAAAAATCAAACAAGCCATTCGAAGCCCGGCTTGCTGCTTCACTAGAGTAATCAGGTCCTCTGACGTTTGGGAAGCCAGTGGACGAGCATGCGGCACGTTTTAAGTCTGATGGCTTTCAAGTGTGGCCTGTTGCTGTGAAGATATCTATGCGGAGAAATGGAATGCACCCCTACAGAGAAAGAACTTCTTAGGAAAAAAAAAGTGTAGCACTTCCCTGTTGACTGTCTTGCTTTTCTGGGCTTAAAAAAAAATCTGACGGATTTGAAGAATGTGTAAGAAGCTCGCATTGCCCTAAAAACGCAGCTTTTCTTTTTTAAGCTCCGTCTGATTATGGAATGAAGAGGTTGGAGTCTCACCATGAACCTGGTTGATCTCAGAGTTGGAGGAAAGGATCTCGTCAGCCAGTTTCTGAGCGGTGGGTAGCACCTCGGTGTGGTGGGCCGTGATCAGATACTGGACCAACTTCTGGAGCTGATCTCTGTTCATCTGGAACAACGTTTCCGATATGGGCAACCGTAGCTTCACCTGCACCAGACACATAAAAGTCTAATCCATTCCAACCGCATTTCTTCATTTTAAACTGTTGGCTTGTGACTGGCAAGTTAGCCCAGTGCCAGCTTTCAAATGACATTTCAATTAAAATACCATTTTTCTCTTGCGTGATCAAAGATAACGACTGTAATGACAACTTTGGGCGTTACCTGTTCTGGCTTGCGGATTCTATAAAGCGAGAGTGCCACCACATGCGCACAGTAGAAAATGTCTCGATTCCCGCAGCCACATGTGACAGAAGTAATCTTGCAGCGGTCGAAGCTGATAGCCACCTTGTGGGTTATCTCCGGCTCAGACGGCGTGGCTGGTTCGGTCACCGTGCCGCTGAGGTGAAATCCTGTAAACACACGAGGAGAAAGGGAAGAGGAGAGTGAAACATAGAGTAAACCAACGTAAATGTCATGTTTAAGCGAGTCAATTTCATCAAATTCCTTTAAAATATGAATCTTTTGCCTGTTGTGTGTGTGAGATAAAGATGATAGGCTAGAAAAGAAGCAGCAGGATGTGTGGTGATCAGAGATGTATAAAGAAAACCTTTAAAATAAAACACAAACATCTCTGGGAGACTTCACCGTGAGGACATCGGACACGTGGCTTCCTTCTCTTCATGTTTCAGTATATTTATGTGTGTCCTTCAAAAAAGGGGGTTGCTATGGTGGGATCATTTCCTGCCCTTACACACACACACACACACACACACACACACACACACACACACACACACACACACACACACACACACACACACACACACACACACACACACACACACACACACACACACACACACACACACACACACACAGTCCCCAGGATAGCAGGGACGATTTGCAGAATAAATAAACTTTAACGCTGTTTTGCACAGTTAATCTTCAGTGCCACGCCACCCACCGCTCTGACCGTTTACTGCTCTGCTGTTAAACACCTGTGGGGAACGATTTCCTCCACTTTATGGGCTTCTTATTTTCTACTTAGCCAAACCGTTTGGTCGTTTTCCCATTTATTTCGGATGGATTCTGAACACACAAAGCCAGTGTGGTGTTTCCTTTTAACATTGTGCTGGTCACACGTTTTACAATAAGGTCTATCTGCATGTTCAATTGTAAAATGTAGGATTATTTGATCAAATCCGCCAACCTAAATCTCTGACCCTTCTTGTGTCACACTATAGGAAACTAACTTACCAACATTTTTGCAGCATAAACATCCGTTCACATCCAGTTACTTTTCTCACTGGATGAATTGAGTCTAGTAACCGATCAGCTGTGGTGTACCACGCGGTTCTGACCACAGCCCCCTTCTATTCAACATCAATAACCCCTTTTAAGTATGTGATCCTCTTTTTAATAATAAACTCGTTGAATAATGTTTTTTGAAATATTCAAGGAACACTGGCTCAAATCTTGGAATGGTATGAAATATGACGATAAATTTGAGAGTTTTGGACCACTAAGATGAGCCCGGATTCTAAATGATATATCGTGACTAGGTAGGACAAACCTAAGAGAAAGTAGGTAAAAGTGATGATACAGCTAAACACACTCTAAATGGGCAGAAACTTTAAACATTTGAAATATCCTACTGAAATGTAGAGGTTTGCGTAAATCAGGTGTCACCAACTCCGGTCCTCGAGGGCTACCATCCTGCTAGTTTTCTGTGTTTCCTGCTCTACCACACCTGAATGGAGTAACTCAGTCCTCTCCTTAACTCTGCACAGGACTGTTAATTTCTCATTCATTTCAATAAGGTGTGTAGGAGCAGAGAAACAGCTAACATGTGCAGGATGGAAGCCCTCGAGGACCGGAGTTGGTGACCCCTGGCGTAAATACAAGTTAAAAAGTGCACATCTAATCCTAACCAATGCAGACTCACACCTACATGTACGCCCACACAGACATCAGCCTGTAACAAAAGAGAATGGCGCCACTTTGCCACAAAGCGGAGGCGGCATCAGGGCACCTTAGTCTTTTGTAAGTGGTAAGCCAGTGGCGATAATGTGGTGCCATTGTGTGTTTTTTTTTTACAAAAGATTACACGATGGTGTGGTTGTGGGGGTGGTCTTCCACTGCCATGGATTTCCTTTTAGCTTGGTCTTAACTTGGTTTTTAACTTTCATGGGCTCACCCATCTTGGCTCACGATGGGGAAGGCTGTTGTAGGTTTACCGTCTAGGAAACAGCAGAAAAAAAGTCTCCACTAGTAAAGCTAACCATTAGCGTTAGCAACTCCACCACAGAGCAGAACTCCTCCAGGCTTGTGTTATTTGTGGAGATAAAACATTAACGTTGCAAAGTAAACAGAGTCAGTGGCAGGGTTGCACTGCTGTTTTCCAATCCGAGGCGAGATTCCCAAATATCAGGAAATAAGACTCCAAATCCTGTTGTCGGAATCTACGTTCTCCTCTGGCTGAATTCTCAATGCTGAAACAGGAGAACCGGAGCGTGTTTCCCCAGACTTACAAGGTATTCATTCCTACAAGAGACCACTGCAAATGTGTTAAAAAATAAGAATGAAGGACATCTTTAAATACAGTTGCCAGCCAGGGCTGGGAGAACATTCCATGTGTCAGTCATCATGACATCACCGTGCGATCATCAATCAGAAGTCTGGTGTAGCGGTGATATTACTATTGAGCATGGTGGCACAAATGGTGCAATAATCCCAGCTCGCCATGCCAACACGGCGCACTCAAAGAACACAACATGGTGGCAGTATTACCCTGATATGCTGCAATGATGCGTCTGTGGATAGCGGCTATTAACACCTTGGCTCTGAGGTATGCAGGTCTTCACTGTAAATTCAATTCAATTCAAGTTTATTTATATAGCGTCAAATCACGACAAGAGTCGTCTCAAGGCACTTCACACAGTAAACATTACAATACAGGTCAGTTCATTAAGCCGATCAGTAAAAAGTTCTCTATATAAGGAACCCAGCGAATTGCATCGAGTCACTGACTAGAGTCAGCGACTTTACAGCAATCCTCATACTAAGCAAGCATTTTGCGACAGTGGAGAGGAAAACTCCCTTTTAACAGGAAGAAACCTCCAGAGGATCCTGGCTCAGTATAAGCAGCCATCCTCCACGACTCACTGGGGATCAAGAACACACACACACACAAATCCACACACACACACACAAACAACATATACACCAAGTAGTGTTTCTATGGTTACATTGTGATTTCTTAGTAAATATTCTATTTGGTGAGAGATAAACTTTATTGTATTTATCCTAGTGAATCTATAATTAAACGGGTAAACTAGTAGTAGCACATCCAACGTCAAATAAAGTACAATGTTATTATCAGGAGAGGGAGAATGTTTAAGCGGTGTAAAGTGGTCTGATGAGGGTGTTGTCTATAAAGGCTTTTCCAAATCAGAACATTTGAGCATGGACTCAAGAAAGCACACATACACATACCGCATGATTCAATCATTTGTCCTTCTGAACAGAGAATGACAACGTGTACGCCGCTGGGCACATAAACAGTCAAGCAGCAGCTGTTCTCACAGATGAACACGGAAGATGTTCAGGGGAGCGTGCAAACAATTTGGTCCAGAATTTTCCTTCAGTTTGTTTTCGCTCACCTACTTTGCAGTTGCAGACTTTTTGCAAGAGTTGCTCTTTCACAGCCTGAAGTAAGGGACCAGGTGTTGGGGCCCGTCCATGTACAGTAGGCAGAAGGCAGAAAATGATTCAATACAATCATGAAGGTTGTTGTTTTGTTTTTAAATTCTGATAAAAACAGAAAATTAGGGCTATTATGGTCCTGATGCCAATACAACAAGTACCAGAACGCAATAACAAACAAAGATCAGCATAAAAGAGAATGAAGCAGCAACTATTAACCTGCATACTTGCTGTAAATGCCCCAGATGTTTTGATGCTACGTTTGCACATTATGTGACCAGCTAGTCTTCAGGGCATCTTCTTAGGGCTAGAGCAGGGGTGTCAAACATGCGGCCCGCGGGCCGGATTCGGCCCGCAAGCGGGTTAAATCCGGCCCGCGAGATGGTTGTGTAAACTTTATTTTCATACTTTACAATGTAGAGTGAAAATAAACTTATCATTGTGAGCAAGTTTTCTCTGTAATGAGTATAAATAAAACAAAGCTGCGCTCAAGGCTCACACAAGAACTTAAATCACATCCTGAAGTTGGCCGCCACTCAGGATGTAACTTCTGATGTTGATGTTCTGGTGAAAGCTAAAAGATGTGAAGTAAAATGAGTCAAATATACTTTAAGTGCTGCATGAAACTGATCTTGCCATGTGATCTGTAAGCTCTTTAAATCACTAAGGAATGTATTTTTTGTTGATTTTAAATTTTTCTCAAAATTTCAAGTACACTTCAGGTGTTGTACTTGTACTACACTGTCCTCAGGCTCCAGCATTGTTTTGTATTGATTGTATTAAAACAAAGAAAACAATCTGAAGTTTTTTTTAATTTACCGGTCCGGCCCACTTGGGACTAGATTTCCCTCAATGTGGCCCCTGAGCTAAAATGAGTTTGACACCCCTGGGCTAGAGGGTCTAGAGATAAACATATATGCTATCTCGTGTCAGCCTTTGCAAACCTCTATAGAACATTTCAGGAGTGTGCTGCAAAGTCAAAAACCTGATTTTTAATGTCTTCTTTTCAACAAAACCACTCACAACCACTGAAAACTGGTGCCTCGACTTGGCTGCAACTTTCTGAACAGTATACCTCCACATGCCCACTAAATCTGCAGCATTCAGTCATTTCAACTGACAATCACACACTACTGATCAAGACGATCTGCCCACCGATCCCAACAGCCCATCTGACTATGACAGAGAGGATGAAGCTGTGAGAGAAACGATCACAGAAGAGAGGCTGCCAGTGATAGACACAAGGAGTCCTCCAAATGGTTCAAATCTGTCCCTCCCCACTGAGTCCTCCTGTTGAAATACTTTGTGGTAACATTGTAAATGTCAAACATGGCTTTCCATTTCTCTTCTACTTTTTTGCCAAAACTGCTAACAAAGACTTCTTGTGAGGCCTTCCAAATTTCATCTAGCTGAAATAATCAAAGGAGTGAGGCAAAGATCAAGAGGAAATAAAGGAAGTGCACGTCTAAAAAGCTTCTCGGGAACATTTATTGTGATTGTCTCAATCGTGTCTTGTCAGTGTTTCTCAAAACTAAACTAAAATTTCAGAAGGCTCGATGGCAGGTGATGAAGATGCGTCGTTCCCACAGTCAGTACTGCATTCTCTTAGCTTCAGACCTATCACCCCTCCTTTTCTTTCTGCCTGTGTCTGTTGGGTTAAAGCCCATTGTTGCTCCGGACTCTGGGATGAATGTGTGATGGTGAC